AATATTGATGATTTACAATCTCCAAGGAGTCCTGCTTTTAACTAACAATTATAAAAAAAAAAAAAATTGAACCCTAAAAACTGAATTTTTAAATTTCATGAAATTATGTAAGTGGGGATAACATGTAAAAAAAAATTTTTTTTTAACCAAGACTTTCTTTTAAAAAAAAGAAAATTTTTTTTCACTCATGTGTGAATATGTCCTGAAAATTTTATTAAAATCTGTCAATTGATATTTGCAAGAATTTTCCAAATCAATATAAATTTTCACCGCGGGGAATTCTGTGTGTTGACACTAAATCATAATTATTACATTGGCAGCTGACGTAAATAACCAAAATTTCAAATGTGCGAGAAAAATAATCAAAAAATTACTTGGGTTTTCTCTTAAGAATAGACATTTTGACAATAAAACTGTTTTTATTAAGTTTAGGGACATTTTTTTTTAACCATGCTATGCTGGTTTTCAGTGAAAAAGTGGAGGTACCTACTTTATTGGGCCCTATATTCAATTATTTTCTGACAATGTTGTCAATTCAAATTTATCATAATCAATTTTTAATACACAGCTATCCAGAACATATTTGAAGGATTGGTGCTTTATGCCTAAAACCTGATTAGCCATTTAATCTATTACTTTTCAAGTTTTCAGTAATCAGCCATTTTATCTATAATTACAATGAAATCCAGGTGTTTCATAATATTAAAAGTTAATATCTCCAGTTACTAGATGTCAGTTTTAAATTTTTTTACAGGCACCTATATCTATATTATACTAAGTGGGTGTTGAGGAGGTCTGCCTTATCAAGAAGGCCGAAAGAAGAAATAGTAATTTCTTCATACAATTATGAAAAATGCAATTGTCACTTATTTTAAGAAATAGTCAATACCATTTTTCACATGTGGGGATTAGATTAAAGTTTGTTTGCCAAAGACATTTTATATTTTACTTCTATCTTGTGGTTCATATCGTAGTGAATTGTCAAGTATTAATTTTTGAGTTATAAAGGATTGTAGATTAGCTTCATTGATTAAGATATGCAAACAATGAACAATATCAGTAAAGTGAATATCATCAATCATATCAATATCAAGGAAAAAAGTGTTCATCTGATTTACTAATCATCTGAAATTGTTCCATTTATGCTGCAAGCAAAGTCATATACTATGAAAAGACTAACTGAAGCCATATATGAAAGGAATATTCATACAATTTTAACTCCTAATAATGTAAATTAAACGGTATATAAAGATTAGCACATGTACCACAAAGAACTAAATAAGCAGATGAAGATAAGGGTTAAAGAAAATAAGTGTATATGTATCACACACTTAAAATGAACTATTCTAATTATATTTGAACCAGCTGACAAATTTCACAGAAACAATACATCTTTTTTTGTCTAAGCAGTAACCTCAAAATGTCACTTACCAAAGTCTGTCAAAGATAACTTCTCATCCTGATCTTAACCTTGACCTGATGCTAAGAGAAATTATAAAGCATAATCTCTTCCTTCTGCTGTATTGTGCATGCTATTTGCAACATTCCAAGTAAATGTTTCTTATTGAGCAACAATACCATATTGCAAGAAAGAACTGGTTTCCAAATCAAAGAACTGTCCCTGCAGCAGGAAGACCATATAGCCTTAAATTTACATGACATTTGTATCAGTGCAACAAATGTATTCTGGAGAATTAACCAGAAATACTTTAGAGTCTGTCTATATTTCTGACATGAGGTATTATGTACATTATTTACATTATTCGGACTATTGTCCTCATCTTTGTCGCCATATTTATCACAACGTTTTGGCCGTTGTACGCTCCAGCCTTCTTCAGGTGGTTGGAATTTTGAACTGAACCCTTTATTTCGCTCACTGGGGTAGACTGTTCTAGTTCCACATGCCAGTATTCCAATAGATAATCTGATGGAGATGTTGACTTTCTGTACACAAACAACACACTTCAGAATGGGATCATATATCGACAGGATGAGGGCTTAGCAATGGGCTCGCCATTATCACCAGCAATGGTGAATATATACATGGAATACTTTGAGGAAATGGCATTAGAATCTATATCTCTAAAGCCAACTATATGGTTAAGGTACGTAGATGACACCTTCATACGCTGGCCACACCAGGAAGATGTTCAGGTTCTCCTGGACCATGTGAACTCAATAAGACCTCCCATACAGTTCACAATGGAGAAAGAGAGTAACAACACACTCCCATTCCTGGATGTTCTAATATCTCGAACAGAGCATGGGTTCAAGACATCCGTATACCGTAAACCAACATTCACCGGACAGTACCTCAATTTCGACTCCCACCATCCATACAGCGTAAAGAAAGGGATCGTCCGATGCTTACAACACCGAGCAAAAGTCATAAGTGGCGACCCAGAGACGTTAGATAAAGAATTGGTCAGTAAAAGTAATAATTTAGTACCCTAAAACGTAACAACTACCCTGGGTACATGGCAGCAGCCCCCAAAAACTGGGATAGGTGGGTACAAGAGGAGGAGGAGGACAACAACACTCAGAAAACAGTCTGCCTGCCTTATGTGAAGGGGTTATCAGAGAAAATACAAAGTATCTGCGGTCCATATAACATGAGGACAACCTTCAAAAGCTTTATGACACTTCACAGATATCTCTCACAAGTGAGACCCCCCATAGAGGGGAACATGACTAAAGACTGTGTACGCTATCCCGTGCAGCTGCGGAAAGGAATATAAAGGAGAGACAAGCCGCCCTCTCAAGGTAAGGCTTCAAGAACACCAGAAAGCTGTAACGCGAGGGGAAGTAGAAAAATCAGGCGTGGCTGACCACATATGGAGAGAGAAGGGAGATCACCGCCCTCTGTGGGATCATGTTGAGATCATAGACAGGGAACACCATTGGAAAATTCGTAAACCTTAGGAATCAGCACATATGCTAGGCCACAAAAATCTCCTGAGCTGACCAAGCATAGAAATAAATACAATATGGGAACCAGTAATAAGGAGTGCCAGAGAAAAGCAATGATAACAACAAAGTTGCAATATGAGCTCTGGTAAAAACATGCAATGATATCAGCAAAAATTGCAATATGAGCACTGGTAAAAATGGTTGCTGAAGACATTAGGTTTATAATACCCAGAAATTCATACTCAGATGTCCTCAAGGACACATGGCACAGTGGATAAAAGCGTTGGTTAGATCCAGTGACAGACCCAAAGAGTGAGTTCAATACCTGGTTGAACTGAGAACTTTCAGAGGATAACTGACAATGCCAAACATGGCATGTGGAACTAGAACAGTCTACCCCAGTGAACGAAATAAAGGGTTCAGTTCGAAATTCCAACTGGAGCGTACAACACGTTGTGATAAATATGGCGACAAAGATGAGGACAATAGTCCGAATAATGTACAGTATGTATACTTTGCTACCTCACCAGTCAGATTTCATTTCAACCTTGGGGCCAATAATGAAAGGAGCACTCTGAGGGTACATTTCACAAGGCTAGAAAAGCCATATTGGTATATTTCCAGAATCTGCAATTATTTTGTGCACCGATCTGGATAAAATATTTAGCATACCTATAACATCATTGAAGGATGAATGCAACAGATCTTGTGTACCATGATAGCCCTGTAATCCAAAAGGAACCATTTCCACTCAGGACTGAACAAGACACAGAGTATCTTGTACTACCCATCCACTTTGGGTCATATAAGGGGAGGGGAGCACAAAGATAACACAGTAAAACCAAACCTCAAGGAAAAACAAAAAACTAATCCAATATGGCTGCCTCTGCTATGACCAGCTGGTGGCTGGATACTGGAACCACTGTGTTCCAATATAGTTGTCATCAGTACTGTCACCTGGTCATTGTTTGGGAAGCAACACTTGAATCAAACAATCTATATTGTAACATGGAGAACCTTTAATAAATATGAAAGCTCTTACAAAGCAAGCAATTATTTAGAGAGGAGAAATACATAGACCTGTTTGATTGAGAATTAGGTTTTACAAAAGCCGATAAAAGAATCTTTGAGGTTTAAAACATGACAAATAAAAATGAAAAGAGTAAAGCCACAAGTTATATGAAATGAGTGAATTTGACAGATTTATTTCTTTGCTGATAGTATTAACAATTACAGAAATGATGCTTAAGGTCAGAAATAAGCAACAAATATTGAACACTTGTTTCTAACAAGAATCTTAGTGATTATGGTTAAAAAAAAACAAAAAAAACTTTAAACTGAGAAAAAGTACTTAGGAGGGGGAGGGTAACATTCAAGTAAGTTTTGTCCAGGACACAGTAGATGAAAGCAAGAATTGTCATAATTTAAATTATATTGATGTGATGCACTCAAGATTACACACCTCAGTAAATATAGCATTTAGGTTCTGGCTATACAGTCCTGAAGATATAGAAATAATATATATTATATATAAAATATTGGACACTGTCGTTTTTTTTGACATATGAAGGTCAAGTAAAGCTCCTACACATCTGCACATTTGATTATAGCGGTGAAGGCTTTGTGCAGAACCAACCACACTTTTTGAAGAGCCGAATACATAGACCTGATGCACCATGTACCACATTATCCCCAACGGCTCTCTGCAGATTTTGAATTTGTCCTCCTAGACCAGTTGCTATCCAAGGTTATAGAACCCAGTCTGCCCTGCTATTTACTCATAGCTGGAGGGAGAAGAAGAGGATTCATATCTTTCCCAAGGGTATTAGCACATAAGTGAACGTAATGGATTCAACTGGAATTTGCTTTCTGAAACCTCAATCCGAGCCACTATCCATTACTCCACTGTACCTCCTATATAATAACATTATTTACATTACTGTATAAATTTTTCATACACCAGGTTAATAGTTAAATTGTGTGTGTGTTAAAATACAGTGACAATCATGTACTATCAATATTGAATGAAAATCAGGATTCAAATAAAAAATTTTAAACTAAGACATTTTGAATGAAGTCTAGCAACTTACCTTGCTATCTCTTTCAAGTTCATTTCTTAACCATTCAAAGTCACTATAACGCCGACGCACACCAGATTCTTTCAACTTAAAGACGGGCAAATTAGTCTGCAAAAAAAGATTTAGTAGTTTGATATTAACTTTTAGAAAAACATTTGAATCAACATTTTATAAACTTTTGTATGGATTTAAATGGATAAGTTAAAATCTAAATGCTTCAAGTTTGCAATTAAGTGCTTATAAATTTAAGTTTACTCTCAATTAAGAACAAAGTCACAGGAATAAAGTAGTCAAGTCAGGACAAAAATTAATCATTTCTTTGCAATCTTCAGAGATTTTAAAATACTTTGCTATCCATTTATCCAACAAGAGAAATGTATTAGCTCTAATTGGTTTAGTCAATATTTTAACTGGTCTAATTTTAACATTAGAAAGAAACCATGATTAAACCATAACCTAAGCTAGACGTATTGAATTTGTATCTTTATCCTTCAATCTGAAAATAAAGAATTTTTGTTAGAAATGACTGAAGTACAGTTACAAATCACATTACTGATAAACAATCAGTGATGATGGCTACTACTACTGTGCTGATCAGGTGAGTTACTCATCATAAACAGCAAGCCAAATAAAAACTGTCGTTCAGAAGTGTTCTCTTAGAGACCTGAAGTTTAGACAGCTACATAAATTTGTAGACTAAAGTCAAACAGAAAATAAAATTAAAAACTAGATACTGAACACTTGTAAGAATTGAGTGTTTATTTAGAAGTTAACGTGCAAGTTTGCAAAATAAAATCCCAAAAGTTCTACCTAAGGATTTTATTGTTAAACAATTTGAATACTTTTAAATTAGTTGTTTACAAACTTCTGAAGTTTGTAATGTATAGCGAGATATTTGTTTTCTTATAAATTATCCCTCCCTGCAGTCACCTTTTAATTGGTTTAAAAAAAAAAAAAAAAAAAAAAAAGGGGACAATCATTTTGACAGTATCCAAGCATGACATTTAAGATATGCAATAAACGTTAGGTTAATTGAGCATAGTGACCACTACAAAGTTCATAGATTTTGTAATAAAAAATAAATTAGGCTTATAGACTGTTTTAACTTTTAGAACTTAGATAAAGCTTAGTATAAAATAGGGGTGTGATAAGAAAACAATTACATTGTGCATTGGCCATGACCTATGAAGATAAAATATATATTCTCAATGGAAGCTTTCACTGGCATAAACGCATCTGTTCTTTTAAATATGAGTTGCATAAATGAAACCTTGTGCATAATACATAAACAATCAAATGTTAACTGAATACTCAGATGAAGGAAAATGTCAGCACAAAATGGTACAGTCATTTAATAGTTCAATGTGTGTCAAATTATTTTGTAAGCAGATAATCACACAAAATCAAAATATTAGTGTTAAAGAATTATTTTTTAATCTTATTTTCATGTTTCATTTTGTGGTGGAGAGGGGCAATTACTATCAATTTCAATCCCTGTATGGTTAATGCAATGTTTTCAATCTAACTATTTGACACCAACCTTATCTCCTCTTAGAACAAGACTTCCTCTCCTATTATCTGTATCTATCTCAACACATTCCAAAGGTATGCCTTCTAAAATGTACCCAGAGTTGAAACACCTTGAAACCCCTACCTCAGAAGAACAAGGTCATTTTTACCAGTACTCCCAGATGAATGTATTAAAGTGATAACTACTCAAAAGTTAGACCCTATAAACAATGTTGTTTACAAATCAACTATATCCCCTTAAACTAAGGCAGCTGATTGATAATGAAACTAAATATTTAATACTATAAAATTTACATTTATAATTGTGATTAGGTGACTAATAATTTGTGATTATTTCTTTCTCTTGAGATTAATGCTACTAGATACACACATCCCCTTGTCCCCTAACCTAGCTATATTTAACAACAATGAAAAATTACAATTATAAGTATTTAATAGGCATACATTTTCAGAGTTAAAATTTTTTTTTTAAATCTTAATAATCAGGACTATGTTTAATTTTCTTTAAAAGATTTGTTGGGATTAATTATATGCCATAGAATTAAATAAATGCACACAAGTAACTTATTTAAAGAGTCACAAAAGATAGTGAATATTTTTTCTTTTTACAGTTTAAATACTTCAAAGAATAACTAAATAACTTATACAGGTGAAAATATAATTGCATGTATAATTAAAATAGCCACTAGAACTTTGGAAAGAGGAGACAGTACATTGAAGAACATTTTGAAGAAATGTCAAGCTACCTAAGAATACATTTTGTTAGGTTACTCTTTTTAGGCTCATTAATTATGTATACCCTAAGGTAGATTATGATTAAATTTCTAAATCTATAGCATATCACAAAACAAAACCTATGATAATGATATAATATATAGCAGTCAATGATGTTTGCACAAGAGAAATCTGCAAGGATTTCTCACAGGACCCTCTGTGATTATGCGTTTGAAGCAAATCAGCCTTACTTGTAAAAGAGGAGATGTCCCTTGCACAGCATCTGGTTAATTTTGCTAACCATGGCTATACTTTTGACTATGGATTTATGGTTAGTTGTGAAAAGTTTTAGATAAAGCAGGCCAATGCTGTGCGTATTTCAAAAACAGGTGAAGAGTGGGCCCCAAACTTTTCTAGAAAGACAGGAAAAAAACTTATTCTCATGAATGTGTCAAAATAGAAAAAAGACCAGCAGTTGTGAACAAGTTTTAGAACAATGTAGAGAAATTATTGTAAGGGTGGTCCCTCCTGATAATATCAATTATGACAAGACAAATTTAACAGATAATCCAATGGTTAAGTTAATGATTTGCAGGAAGTGAATTAAGTATGCAAAGAAAATAATGAACATCTAAGTCTGCTGTTTTACTCTTGTATGTTTGTGCAACAGATGGTCAGTTCCTGCCTACCTATGTTGTTTATAAAGCAGAACATTTGATGGGTTCCTGGATAATGCAAGGACCCATCAGCACAAAATATAACAGGACAAAAAGATACTCAAGTAAGCATTTGTCCCATATCCTGGGGTAAATGCACAGGCATATATATATATATATATATATATATATATATATATATATATATATATATATATATAAGCAAGTTTAGTTACTGAAGTTGTATAGAGTGTCTATATTTCTGAGATGAGGTATTATGTACAGTATTTACATTAGTCGGACTATTGTCCTCATCTTTGTCGCCATATTTGTCACAACGTTTCGGCCGTTGTACGCTCCGGCCTTCTTCAGGTGGTTGGAATTTCGAACTGAACCCTTTATTTCAATCACTGAGGTAGACTGTTTGATGTTTGTCCATGTGCCACCCTCTGAGTCGCTTCCTTGTAGATATAATTGATCCATTGATCGGAAAGTCTCCTTCATATGTCCGAAACTCCGCCCACTTCGTGGAAATAATCAAAGATGCTCCCATCCTATCCAACCAGATGGTGAGCTTGGACGTGGTGAGTGTTCACCAAGGTACCCACGGAGGAGGCACTCAGTAGTCAGAGATAGATTGACCTCTGACTCTTCCCTAGAGGAGCGGACCAGTATTCCAATAGATAATCTGATGGAGATGTTGACTTTCTGTACACAAACAACACACTTTGGAATGGGATCACACATATATCGACAGGATGAGGGCTTAGCAATGGGCTTGCCATTATCACCAGCAATGGCGAATATATACATGGAATACTTTGAAGAAATGGCATTAGAGTCTATATCGCTAAAGCCAACTATATGGTTAAAATAACGTAGATGACACCTTCATACTCTGGCCACATCAGGAAGATGTCCAGGTTCTACTGGACCATGTGAACTCAATAAGACCTTCGATACAGTTCACAATGGAGAAAGAGAGTAACAACTCACTCCCCATTCCTGGATGTACTAATATCTCGAACAGAGCATGGGTTCAAGACATCCGTATACCGTAAACCAACATTCACCGGACAGTACCTCAGTTTCGACTCCCACCATCCATACAGCGTAAAGAAAGGGATCGTCCGATGCTTACAACACCGAGCAAAAGTCATAAGTGGCGATCCAGAGACGTTAGATAAGGAATTGGTCAGTATAATTTAGTACCCTAAAACGTAACAACTACCCTGGGTACATGGCAGCAGCCCCCAAAAACTGGGATAGGCGGGTACAAGAGGAGGAGGAGGACAACAACACTCAGAAAACAGTCTGCCTGCCTTATGTGAAGGGGTTATCAGAGAAAATACAAAGTATCTGCGGTCCATATAACATGAGGACAACCTTCAAAAGCTTTATGACACTTCACATATCTCTCACAAGTGAGACCCCCCACAGAGGGGAACATGACTAAAGACTGTGTGTATGCTATCCCGTGCAGCTGCGGAAAGGAATATAAAGGAGAGACAGGCCGCCCCCTCAAGGTAAGGCTTCAAGAACACCAGAAAGCTGTAACGCGAGGGGAAGTAGAAAAATCAGGTGTGGCTGACCACATATGGAGGGAGAAGGGAGATCACCGCCCTCTGTGGGATCATGTTGAGATCATAGACAGGGAACACCATTGGAAAATTCGTAAACTTAAGGAATCAGCACATATGCTAGGCCACAAAAATCTCCTGAGCCGACCAAGCATAGAAATAAATACAATATGGGAACCAGTAATAAGGAGTGCCAGAGAAAAGCAATGATAAAGTTGCAATATGAACTCTGGTAAAAGACATGCAATGATAACAGCAAAAAATTGCAATATAATACTCAGAAGTTCATACCCAGATGTCCTCAAGGACACATGGCACAGTGGATAAAGGCGTTCGTTAGATCCAGTGACAGACCCAAAGAAGGTGAGTTCAATACCTGGTTAAGGCAGCGGAGAACTTTCAGAGGGAAAATTAGCAGGAGATAACTGATATCCATCAAACTAGAACAGTCTAAAGTTCGAAATTCCAACCACCTGAAGAAGGCTGGAGCGTACAACGGCCGAAATATGGCAACAAAGATGAGGACAATAGTCCGACTAATGTAAATACTGAAGTTGTATAGATTCACTAAAGTAGATAAACATTTGAAAATTGTTACAAAGTATTTCTATATCAACCTTAACTTGAG